TTTGGAAACCGATAGGTAATAGATCAACAGGGACGGGTTTTTCTCAGCTCGAGCCGGTCGTGGAAGGGATGGGTAAGAAATGGGGTCACGAGGGCTGGGGATCTATGGGACCAAACCAGGGTCAACTGGGTCTCAAAGGAGCAGCTGAGAACAAAGCTCCCCCACTGCCAAAGAATAGGTGAGAGGCTGGACCAGATCCTCTTCGCCCTCCCTCTTGCATGGTTGCGGACCCTTCCACGGGGGCCAACAATGGAGGAAGGTGACTGGGTGGCTTTAAGAGGGGATGTAACGTGGGTGGGGCAAGTAATCACAGACAGACCAGGGGAGGTGTTGGTAAACTTTTTCTATCGAACACCGCATAACCGATTGATCAGGGGAGTGTCAGATGAAGTCTTCTGGATTGATGCTGGAATAGTCCATAGAGTGAGGGTCCTACGAGAAGGGGACTTCTGGGTGGCATTCAGGACGGAGATGCCAATCCAGGACCTCCCCATGGATGCAGCTGAGTGGAGATGGAGGGTTCCAACGGGGAACGACAAACTAAAATATCCTTATCTTTAGTCGCTGGGGGTTAAGGCTTCCTATCGGATGCTTAGGACTAGACTCAACCTGAAGGACCGTATAGTGGATCGTTGGGCAAGACACTTAAATGTCCCATTAAATTCCCTGACACCCATTAAATGGTTTACAGGGGTAAAGTCCAAACCGGCCAAGACCGCCTCACTCCAATGGCAGATCACCCATCGCTGCTTACCCACAAACGCATGGCTCATTGACCATACCCACTTGGAGCAGAAAGGCTTGGCCCTCCTCTGGTGTCTGGCGTGCAAAGAAGGTTTTCCTTCTCGAAAGGCTAATGAAACAATAGAACATTTTTTTTTGCAGTGCCCAGCTTCAATCTTGGTGTGGCGTGGGTGGGTTCAGATTTGGAACCAGCTAGGCACGGACAGGGATTGGCCGTGGGAATGGAGAGCCCTGCTAACTGGGCATTGGACCGCTCAAACCTCGACCTTTACGGCCAACTTATTTAGGATTGGGAGGGATGTGGTACTATGGGCCATATGGCGTCGCAGATGCACTCTAGCACTTGAAGGCGCCCATGTGGAAAGAGGCGAGATGATGGACATGATTAAAGACATGATAGAAACAGCAATCAGAGCCCAGTGGAAAAAAATTGTGCAAGCGATGAACGCTCTCACAAAAAGACCAGACATCATCCAAAAACTACATGAATTCTGCATGGACTGGCTGGGGGGAGAACAGGGAGGATGGATAGCAAAGATTCAATGGGATGGCTGGCGTCTGAATGACAACGATGGTTGGACACATTGCAGAAAAACTACCGATTGACCTTCCATGATTGGGCTGCAATTCCTAGCAACATCCCACTCCCCCTCACCTCTGAATTCCCTGACCTATTCCCCTTACCCAACAATGTCTTGATTGAACTGAGCTGGTATGGCCGCGACACAAGGTAACCTCTCCAACAGTGACTTTAGTGAACCGATCATGATGGATAAGGGTATAGGGAGGACTGGTAGTCTGCCCCAGTCGCCCCCTGGGAGCAGAACCCGCCTCCCCGCCCCCTTGTACATCAGGTCGGTCCATTGAAGACACAGCCGGAAGTTTGGTACCCTAGCATACAAAGGAGAGCTAACTAATGATGGTTGTCAGGCACCCGCGCACTCCTGCACAGTTAATCCCCTAAGGATCTCAGGGTAATCAATGATGGCCGGCGTGTTCACGATTCAAAGGAAAAGGGAGGATTTAAAAAAAAACAAAAGTAGGAGGGAGGGACTAGTTTCTTAGCAGTAGATATTTGGCGCCTGATGCTAGGGCGAAGAGGTTTTCTCCCCTTCCTTGACAACCTGCACAGTCAATCCTCTGGTGGCTAGAGCAATCAATGCTGGCAGGTTTCACAGTCAAGTTCTCTTGATCCAATCTGTATTCATTCTGCAATGCATTCTGTAATGAGACGCTGGACCCATTTTCCAGCAGGTGATGCTCCCCACCAATAGACGGAGCCTCCCCCGGGTGCTAGTGGTGTCTGGCCTTGTCAGCACCACTAGCACTGCAGGGGTGTTTTCAAAAAAAAAAAAAAAAAAAAAAAAAATCAAAACTCCTCCCCCTCCCCCTCCGCCCGTACTCCCCCTTCCGCACTCCACTCCTCTCGTCCGCCAACTGGCCTCCCCTCTCCTCCCCTCTCCTCCCCTCCTCCTCCAATGCCCCTCTTCCCTATGGGGCCCCCCTCTGCTGCCCCTCCTCCCMCCCTCCCCTCCACTCTTACAACTTTGCTGCCCCTTCTCCCAAAATTTAGCACAAAAAAAAACTCGCACTTCCCCTGCTTCTCGCCCCTCCTCCGGTGCCTCTTCCCCGACACTCCCATGATTTTCCACCAAT